AAAAATATATATATATATATATATATATATATATAATAAAAAATATAAAAAAAAGGAAAAAGAAATAATAGAACATTTTGAGATGTTCTAGGTCGAGTTAAAAAACGGGTCTAGGTTCTCTAAAGCTTTATCGACTACATTGCAGGCTTCGATACTAAAACCCAGTAAAGACCTCTACTTAAGGGTGTCATTCTTTAACGATTTTTTCATTCTTATACAACAAACGCAAATTACTATTATCCTTTATATATTTATAATAAACGATTCTAATTATAATTCTACAAAAAAATAATATCACCCCCTCCTCCCACCCCCCGTCCCATCACTTCTCATTTATCAATAACGTTGATATATTAAACAATAAAATTAATAAAAATAAATTTCAACTCACCATAGCAGAAAGATCCGAAATATTGGCAGTTGGTGCTGCATCAGTTTTCTCGAACACGATAAACATCGCAACAATAGCGATTAATATTAATAAACTTCTCATATTTATTCTTCCCGCCATGATTTTTCTAAATTTTCCTCTTTTTTCTTCTTCACAATTGTAATACGCCATTTAAAAACGAAATACGCGAGTGTCAACGGAAAAAATAAAATATATTATTAATCAATGTTGTCACTGTATGGAAAACCAAAAACGGGATTTTGTTTATTTTTAACGCGTTCGTGAATAAAATTTGAATAAATTATTATAGAATTTAATGTTCTCTCTGTATTTGTTAGTTCAGTTTAATTGAATTTAATTGAGAATTTCTCTTGATCTCTTTTGTATATTTCTGATCCTTTCTTTCCTTCCACCCTTTTCTTCTTCCACCCTCTTTCTCCTCACTTTGGAACTACCCTCTCTCGGACACACGAGGTCGATCAATAATACCAGTCCCTCAAATGCGAACACCGGATGCGTCGAGTAATGTGACACACTCAAGTTCGAAGGTCTTCCTGAATTCCACAGGACACACTTCCAATTTTTCGTTAATCCCCCTTACTTCGTACTTTTTAATAATAATAATAATAATAATAGATTTTTGTGTTGATCGTTCCTTCTTCGAGGGAGAATAGAAAAAAAAAAAAAAAAGGAAAAAAAAAGAAAATGAATGAAGTATACAATTAACGATATTTCAAACTTTTTAAAACCTATCCTTTTGTTTTATATATTTGTTTCATTTGATTCGATCTCTTTTATCCTATTCGACTAATTTTTCTTTTTATTTTCCTTTATGGTACTTCTTTTTCTTCTTCTTCTTATTATTCTTCTTCTTATTCTTCTTCAACTTTAGTAGAACTGATATTTCTATTTTGTTTTATATATATAATTATATATTTATTTAAAGATAGAATAAGAATATGGATGAACAATTTGTCACGATAAATTAAACGCGTTTGTTTTTATCACTATATCGAATCAATTATTATTATTTTCCTTACACTCTTCGATCATAGATCCAATTTTCTTCTCGATAATAAATAATTTCCTTCTAATTGGCAAATCAATTAATTTTATGTTATATTCCGATCCTTGATTATTTGTCGAAGACGAAGATTCAAAACTTTAGTTTAAAGGATTTAAACAAGAAAAAAAATCAAAATAGGAGGAAAGTAAGAGAACAAATAATATATATATATACATATATATATATATATATATGTGTGTGTGTAATACGCGCACGCAACCGGTAAAGTAGATACGCGGAGCTGGGACCGGAGTCGACCGCCACTCTGAATCACAATCACTCTGCTCGTGACTTTTATCGAAACCCCCCACCACTTTTTCTTCTACCACCACCACCACCATCATCACCACCACCAGTATACTAATTCATTAGAGGGAGGATGCGCCGTAAACTGCACTATTGCGATCTACACGATGCGATGATCATCGATCCTTTTCTTCGTTCATCCGATTACAAAAAACAAAAAGAAGAAAAATAATTGTCATCATCTTTTTCTTCGAATCAGATCGCTGTTTTTTTTTATTTCTTTGTCTCTTATATTTTCTAATCGTACTAATCAATTTTCTATATTTCAATTATTAATCAATAATACCTATTGATACGTATACACGAATTTTAATTCCTATCACAAAACTTTATTTCGAATTAATTTGATATTTTATCATTCAACATAAAATTTTCTATTCCCATTGTCATTTTGTTTTATTTTCCCATTGAATTTTATTCATTTGTAATTTATTTTCATTTTTTTGTTTGTTTATTATTTTTATTGTAATAAATAAATCTCTTACCACGTGTTAGGATTAAAACATTTCAACTCATTCGTTTATATGCATTTAATCTGTATTATGATATATATTTTATTCAATTAATTAATCCTTTTATATTTCAATGTATTATTAATCTTAAGAAAAGAAAAACAAAATGATTTTTAAAAGGAGTAAGACAGGTAGAGAAAATTATTATCCGTACACTTAGGTGGTCCATCTTTCATTGACAAATGATCATGACAAAATGATTAACATACGATCCATAGATTAGAGAAGAAGTTTTAAAATCCTTTTATTATTGCTAGGCCATTATAATTATCTCAACAATTTTGAGATATCATCTCTAGTATCTATTCTCACTTTTAGTATAAATAATATTTACCAAAACTTTTCTAAGAAATTGCAAAGATGCACAATTTACAGCATTGCA